CCGCGCTTTGGCGGGCGGGCCCAGCGCCGCCGGGCGTCCCGGGCTGCCGGCGGCCGATGCGGGCGGGGCGCGTTGAGTGGCGGCGGCGGCGGCCAATGCCGGGGCGGCCCGGGCCGGGAGGGACGCGGCCGGAGCCCCGCGGTCGCCGAGTTCCCGTTTCTGGTCCCTCGGGCGGTGCGGGAACGGCAGCCCTGCACGGGCGGAGGCTCCGGCCGCAGCCGCTCGAGGGCTCCTCGCCCTGACGGTGAACGGCTGAGGGCCGCGCGCCTGCCGGCCCGTTTCTCACCTCCTGCATCCTCGGGATGCGATTCCTCCCAGTTGGAGCCTTGACGTCGCTGCCAAATAACGGGACGGCCTCAGTTGGACTCATTCCATCCTTGTCGAACAGAAATGCCTGGGCGTGGATATTTGGATATTGTAATTGAAATATATTTGTGTGTTTGAATAAGATTAGTTTTCAAAATATCTGTAAAATCCGGTCTGCCGTCCTTGGCGAGTTGCTCCACGCAGAAGCCCAGTTTCTAATTTGTTTGTTTCCTAAAGGGACACCGCAGCTGTTCTGGAATGGAGATTTCGTCCCACCAGTTTCACCTCCTGCAGCAGCTCAATGAGCAGCGCAGACAGGACTTGTTCTGCGACTGCAGCATCCTGGTGGAGGGGAAGGTGTTCAAAGCACACCGAAATGTGCTGTTTGCCAGCAGCGGGTACTTCAAGATGCTCCTTTCGCAGAGCTCCAAGGAAATGACTCAGCCCACCACAGCCACTTTCCAGGCATTTTCTCCTGACACTTTTACAGTTATTCTGGATTTTGTGTATTCGGGCAAACTGTCTCTCACCGGTCAGAACGTCATCGAAGTGATGTCGGCCGCCAGCTACCTGCAGATGACCGATGTCATCAGTGTGTGCAAAACGTTCATTAAGTCGTCGCTGGACATCAGTGAGAAGGAGAAGGATCGCTACTTCAGCCTTTCAGACAAGGAGGCGAATTCCAACGGCGGGGA